TTTTTAATTAAAACTTAAAATTTTTTTGGAAAAAACTTAAATTTTTTTTGAAAAGCTTAAACATATTATTTTTGACTAAAGTTCTTTATATTTCTACAATTTTAATTTATTTCTTAATTTTTCAATTCTAAACTTAAAAACATTCGCTAATCCGTCCCACTGTGGCACATCTGCAACACCGCTTGCATTTTAAATACACACAGCACAAAGCAGCCAAGTCAGAGCAATCAAAATGAAAACGTAAAACAAAAATGGCATTTATATCTTATTATTATTTAAATTTAAAACTCATTTTTTCGCTTGCTTTCAATATAATTTCGAATACTTTTTATTTATACGATATTTTGCTTGCAAATATCCTCAGTGACAAACCGACGACACTGCGACAAAATTGTCTGTTGCTCCTACCAACACACGCACGCACACACATACACACACAAATRTATATACGGGGATTTTATTTATAGCCATGTCTCATGCTGTGAATTTACTTGTTATGATGATTTATACATTTTTAAAAACCCAACCAACGCCATGCATACGAAGCGTTGAGCAGCGAACGACAGCKCTAACAAAAGCAACAAAAATAAATTAAATGAAATCAATTTTGGAAAAAATGAAGAACGTAGCGTATCACACAGCTGCCAAAAAACAAATYGCAAAATAAGAACAACAACTTTTGGCTCATACAGTTTTTTTTTGTTATTTTTACTTTAGCTGCAGAATGTTGCCGCAACATTTTTYGAATATGAAAATTAAAAAATAAAAAAATACAACATGTTGCCAGGCAAGTAATTTACTTATTTTCTTGGYTGCGAAATCATTASTTTTGTGCCTTAACATATTCATTCCGCCACACACCCTCAASGAACGACAATGTTCATGCCGCAAAGGCGTGTTGTAATTARTTGCAAACTGCATTTTAAATGCACCCATGTCAGCCATTTTTAATTTAGCACATATGAATGCAGTGAGTCAAGCTTACTGCTGCTCTTTATTTGTAACGTTGTATTTGTGTGTTAGTAAGCGTGTGCACAGTGGGCCGTGTCGCCAGCGCTCGAGGCGTTTGCTACATTTTAGTTGCCACACATAGTTTTGCCATTTTTCTTCTCTCAATATTTTACCATTTTTCTACTGGTGCATATTTTATGTTTTCCTGTTGCTAACAATTGCTGTTTCGCTGTTGTTGTGGCGACCACCAAACACTATAATTAACTCCACGCCACAGCGTACGCTAGCGTTTGGCAGCACACTCGCACCCATACTGACATATATAGCAAACTACTTGTGCTCACTCTTTTGAACCATACGACGAGGCTGACATTTGCCGCTGACGTTTCGACATGAGCAATCAAATATGGCGACAGCAACAAAAGCACCAGTCAAAATGCGCCGACGAGGCATCTCGACGCCGTGCGCGTTTTTTAGCTGTTCTTTTGCTTGTTTTTTAGGTTTTTTTTCTTGGCTGCAGAATGCGTGCGATATTGATTTTTGTGTGTTTTAATAGTTGTACAGTACGAGCATTTATGTTTTTTGCTTTTTGTGGCAGCCACATGTATGTAGTATTTGTTGTTGTGCTTGTTATTGTTGCAATTAWGCTGCGGTCAAACCAGTTAGACAGCTTTTCTTGCACAGCAACATAACAATTTGGGCATAGCAGCTGTAGTTGTAAAATTTATTGCTTGCTTATGTCGCGAATGCATCCGCAACATGTTGAATGTTGCTAAGCGCAATTGAACTGTTTATAAAGAGTTTAAGGCGATAAGAGTTTATTAAACAAGAGTGAAGTATTTGAAAAATGCAATATAAACGCAAAAACTTTGACAATTTTCTTTTTTGCAAAAATGTCTAAAAATTTGCTGACTTTAACCTCGTCGAAAGTCGTAGAATTTCACGCTTCGCACACGCTTTTGTTTGAAAATTAAATCTYCACGCCTTTTGGCATACTCCCGCACAATGTCATTTCACAGCTGTCATTTTGACACTTTGGTCCAYACACAATCTGTTAACGAATTGCCACAAGGTCAAGCCGAAGAGGCTTAACTAACGAACAAATACTGACAGTAAAAGCAGCGCAGACCGCCCACCTCAGTGCCAATGCATTTTGACAGCCAACTGTCAATGTCACTGCGAAYACACACACAGGCACACAAAACTGCAACGAAATTCCGGAACAAAAGTAAATAATAATAATAAAAAAGTAACAACAACACAATAATTGTTTCATTGGAAAACAGACAAAGCAAGGCGTATTGGTGGTGCAGAGATTTTAAGCAGATTATAGGCTAAGCGCGTACAAAACCCAGCGGGAAGCGCAACGGAATGAAAACAATCAGAAAAAAAAAAGAAAAATGTATTTTAAAGCAAGGAAGTCTACAATGTATGCAAGTAGTATAATGATATTCCCATATGCAGCCACTTGGCCTTTACCTGGTGCCGCACAACAATGTTTTCAATATTTTCGTAAGCAGATGCGGTCGAACTACCTGTATATATGAGAGCCAACAACCCAGCGAATGCATTACAATAACAGGAGGTGTTTACAAGCAAGGCTGCTTGCTGGAGTGGCTTTGTTTGCATGAAAATCGAAATGTTGTGCGCAAAATGTGGATTCGTCATGCCGCAAGCATGACTAATGGTCTTACCGCTGAACATACTAACAGACAATCAAATGCACATACACACACATACAAACACTTACTCACATATATGCATATATATATGTTTACAGCCGAAACCCCCACTGTTCGATTGGCAAAAAGGCAAGCGCGAAGGAAAAAATGCGAAATGCGACAAAAATGCATGACACAAAAGAAAAATAGATAAAATAATTTTGTTTTATATAATATTGGTGTAATAATAGAAAAAATACAACTGGAATCGGTGACGAGATAAGCTGCCAGCGTCTGTGGTAATGTTGTTGCCGCGGGAAAAAGAACAGTTGTGCACAATGAGCGTTTAATATTTGTAATGAATTGGGCGACCTACGTACAAATACACAAACGATAGGTATGTGCATGCACGCACTGGCAACACTTGCCGCAATAAACATGCGAATTACTCCGCATGAAGGCGCTTACAAAGACTCAGCCGTAAACGCGCTTATATATGTGTGTATGCGTTTGTATGTATGTTTAAGTGTTTGTTTGTAAGCCTTTGAGCATTTTTCAGCGCTTCAGTTTATTACAKTTGTTGGTAATATGAATTTTTATTGCCATCGGTTGTGGCGTAAACGTGCTTACAAGTCGAAACATAAACCAAATGACACGCACAATGTGTTGCATAGATAAAAATCATCAAAGCAATAATTGATAAAATGCCACCTACGTGGTTGTGGTGTAGAAGAAACTTGAAAAAGTCCAGCAAAAATGTAGTAAAATCAGTTAAAAGCAGCAATTTCGCTATAATTTCGCTATAATTTTTGTTCTGTGCAAATTTTGTTCTATGACATGCATTTTTTTTAGGTTTTATTTCAAATTTGGGAAAAAAAAATTATTTTTAAATTATTTTTATAGGTTATAATTGAAATTGAAATTAATTATAAAATAACCATTAATTTTCTAAACTTTGCAAAACCTTSTTAACATATAATTTTCTCTTCTCTGCTCTTTTCAGATAAGATCACAGAAACCCTACTACACAGCGGATCCCGAAGTCGACTCACTGGTAAGTGTTGCATACATATTAATCAATGCACAATCATACATAAAATCCTTCAATTACATTTTATTGCATCTCACCCATAAATAGATTAATGAATCGCACTTGCAACATATTGCCGCTATTGCAATTGTAATAAATGCATGTTGCATAGTGCCATAATATTGCCACAACAAGTTCACCTTGACCTCAAAACAAAATGCAAAATTTTCAATTATCAAATACAAACAATAAAAACAGCAATAACAACACATCACAAAGCAACATTTAGTGTTGACGATGTATAAACATATAAATTTTTCAATTCAATTCAATTAGAAGAGCGGCCGTTGGCCGTTGCAGTGTGCGGCAGCGACTGTTGCTCGTAAAAAGCAGCATTTTTATTTGCCGCTTAAATAAATTTGTCGCAATTTACCGCTGGCCACGGCAACTAAGGCGGCGCAGCGGCGACTAACGCATGCGCACTTGTCGTCGTCAGGCAAGTTCAATGTYGCTGTCGCTGTTGCAAATTTACTGCATTTGTTTTGTATTTTTATTACTAAAAAGCGAGAAAAAATAACAATAAAACGGTGTGCTGAAATTTGCGAAAACATTAAGCACACAACAACGGAAAATTATCATTCTTAATCTCAAGTGACTGTGATCCGGCATGTCAAAGCGCTGYGATACATAAACAAATACAGAGTGACGAAGCGAGCAAGCCGCGCACACATGCAACTGTTGCACATACTTATATACATATGTTTGTTGTTGTTATTGTYTGTAGCAAATTCACATTGTTGCTGACCACAAACAATGCCTGCAGCCCACAAGTATCTAGATATACAGAAATGCACGACTATGCCGGCTGGAGGCTGGAGCTTGGCCTGATAGCCCGCGCTGCCCACATGCGCTCGACGCCAATGCAGTAAAAACAACAACAAACATGTAAAAAGCTAAAACTATAAACTTTTTCGTTACTAAATAAAATGCACATGAGTACAACATATATCCATATGTATATATATATATATATGTATATATATATGTATTTTCAACCGTCATTCCCTCAATAACTGAGTTGTTAACTTATTTTATTGCCGAACGCTTGACTGCTGAGCGCAGTTGATCTGTTGCGCTGTCGCTCGATTGTGCGGTAAACTTGTTGCTCGTCTTATGTCAGCGCGCGCTGAAGGCTGTCAATGTTGCAACAATAACAACAATAACAGTAAGAACAATAACAATACCCACTATAACGATGACATTAAACCTTTTCGGTTTTGTTGCACACATACAGATTTTTGAACATTTTATTTCATTAATGCATGTAAAAATCCAGCATCAAGCTCCAATATGCCACGCCATAACGTTCACCAACAGTTCCGTCGCCTGCATCGTTCTCTGGCCGGCGTTAGCTCGTCACGCGGACTGTAGTAAAATTTAATCGTAAACATTCAATACTCCCCGCATGCTGGCGTCCGTGCCAGTCGTGTCGCAGATTTTGTTGCATATGTCATCTTTTAATGCCAAGTGTTGCTTAAGTGGTATGCCACAGTTTTAAACTGACTGCGCGCAGCAAAATAAAATATGTATGAAAATTTCGGTGTCGATATGTATGCGTTTTTGAGTGCCACTTAGTTTTGCAACAATGAAAAATCTCCGAGCGTTTCGCAGCTGCCACAGCTGAGTGTAGGCAAATATGATGCGTAGCAATTAAATGAGCCGTACGACATTTTCGCGCTCACTGCTTTAGAAAGTGAAATGAAAACATTCCACAGTATAGCCTTAAGATGCCTCAATATAATTTAAGGCTTTTTTAAAACACATGAGGCATGTATTTCCAAGGAGAACATTATTCCGCAACGTCTTTTTGCACTGCATAAATATATGTGTAACTAAATTATTGCGATACATGAAGCGCTGACAAAAATTTTGGTGTGCTGACAAAAATTGAATGAATGCTAAATTAATCAATCTGCTGTCAAACATTTTTATATTGAATTCTAACCAGTTTCAAAATTACCTTAAAATGTTAAGTTTTTCAATATTGAGTGGAACATTTGGATTTTTTGCTGCATTCAGCAATCGCGCTGAATAACAAATTTACCTTTGTACTACTATTAGTTTTGTATATATAAGACCAACAATATTACTTCAATACAAATAACAATTACAACAAATGCACAGACATTTCTTTGTCCATTAAGCACACGTWATAACTTCTGGGAAACCCTTTGGAAAATCGCATGTGCATTCACATATGCTAATTTCGTTGTCACGAAGCAATTACCGTTTAGAGGCGAAAGCAAATTATGCATACAAATATTGCCACTTCATATRACTGACTCTTTAATCGCCTTTAAAGCCTATTTATATAGTGTTGGAATCATCATTAGTCAAACGCTTACAATAATACGTATGTTGCATACAAAATTTGTATTGCATTAGATAAGGCAATGAAAGTGCTTACAAATACCTGCGACGTGCAGGCGTCCAATAAAAATAGACTAAAAAGTTATGCTGAAATATGTCATATGGGTAAGTTTGAGCCGCTGAATAGCGCTCAGTTAAGCAGAAAACAGGTGAAAATTATTTAYTGCAGTCCCATGCTTTAAACTATTGCACTTTTGGTTAGCTGAATTGCGCTGAATTAAGCAGAAATTCGCTGCGAAGTTCGATTGCGCTGAATTATTGAAAATCAATTGAAAACCTTTTCAAGATTRCGATCTTATAACTTAATCTTAACTGAATGTTGATATGTGCATCAACTAAACATAAGAATAATGTAACACTAAGACGTTCGCATGCTTTGTCCGCAGAATTACGCTGAGTTATATTGAACTAAGTTGAAGTCAACTAATAATTACTTATGCCAGTTCAGTGCAGGAGCTATTGCATTTTGGCTGAATTGCGCTGAATTACCCGAGATATACCTGCAAGCATCTTTTAACAGTGCGCTTATACTTGCCGCTATAATTTATATTTAGCTGAATTCTGCTGAATAGTCACACATTAGTAAATTTAGTTTATTTTCCAATGACTTTATACACAAGTTGGACTGCRTTACTACTTGCGAATGAACTTTGTCAGTCGTAATTTTATTGATATTTTATCGTGCTGCGGGCACTGTTGCAAATGTGCATACTTTTTATCATTCGTATAAGACTGCTGTCATCTCTGTGCCCCACCTCTTTATGAGTTTCCGCCATTTGCGAAATTTCGCTTCTATACTCCTATACAATTCAATTCAATTCGAGGGCTCGATGGACCTACGAACAAATGTCGACATCAACGCTTCAAGTATCAACAATGATCGCTGTTACACTATTAAACACACACGCGAAACCGACGATAACAGTGGCGCGTCATTTTATGGCGTTGTAGTGTTTTGTTCCAACTGTCAGTTTGACAGTGCGCCTGCGTACTTGTGTAATAAATCATTTCGCCTCGCTGCCGAGGCAAGCTGTCATGCGCTTCTASGGATCGCGCTTCGCTTTCGTTACAACGCTAACTTGCGGATACTCCAACGGCAAGCATGCAATGTCGCMGAACGCTCGTACGCTCAGTTAGAGTAAGAGTACATGCAGCTTTTTGRTTTTAGTTTAGGCGCGAGCCCCCAAGTATGTGTGTGTGTGTGAGTGCGCGCAAAATGTTGAATAAACATTTAAATGTGCATTTAGTAACACATACTTAACGTTTGTATTTTTAAGTACTACTAGAGGCGGCTACTACAGCTCGTATGCGGTGGCGGCGTTCTTGCAGCGGCGTGCTTCAGCTAACAACGCTAAGCCATAAAATTCATTTTATTTTCATTGGATACTTGCTGCACTGCCATTTATTGCACTTACTATTGGTGTCGTTGTTGCTGCTGTTGTTGCTGTCACTCCTGTTGTACTTGTTRCTACAAGTGTTGTTGTTTTGGACATAGTCAGTTAACGTCACAAAGCTGTGCGGCCYATAGCAACGCGCCGTGATTATGTTGTTATGGTTTGTATGGCGAGAAAATTGCAATATGTTGCAGTTGAACTTGTCAATATTATGCCATGCCTTGTTGTGGATAACGTTGTTGTTGCTTATTGATTTTTTTCGCTTTTTTGTTTTGCTTAGCTATATGCTGTTTTTGTTGTTGTTACTCATGTCACTTGGTAGTTGTTATACGCGCGTTCTCCACCTTTAAGTGAGGAGTGAAACTTTTTAATAGCTTAACCAAGCTAACGCTTTGTTGTTTTAATTTTGCGCTCATGTTTTTTCACTGCCGAGCGTCGTAAAAATGTCAAATGTCAAGTTGACAGTTTAATTAGGTGAGGCTGTAAMGAGGTATCCAACCAGGCGCAAGATTTATTTTTTTTCTTTGACTTTGCTTATGTTATGCTGCGCTCTGTGTTAGTGGCAGCGAATTTTGACAGTGCGACTTTTTATTGCCTTCGCTTTTCTCGTTGTGGTGTGTGGCAGCGCTTCAAGAGTGCCAGTGCGCAAATTTTGACTTTGACGTTTTAAATGCTGCGACTTTTTTGTTTTATTAACTCACTGCAGCGACACGGTTACCGCCTGCTGCGATTAAGGTTGTGGAAAGTTTGCGCGTCTTTTTTCGTGCTTCACTTGTTGTATGCCACTGTCGAGCTATGCATATGTATTGCTCATCATCATTAACCTGAAATTCCAAATCGTTTTTAATGCGATTAAAAGTGACTAAAATGTCGAGCTCACAAGTATGTATATATATGTATGTATATGTGAAAGCAGCATTGAGCAAAAACTGAAATGAACTCCGAAATGATTAAGCTAAGGCCACAGCGCACAACAGAAAGTATCTAAAATGAAACAGACCGCGCACCACTAAGCGTTTTAAAAACGTCTGATTTCTTTATAAAAAGCGCTGAGCTGCAAAACATGGAAATTACCACAGCCAACAACAACAGCAACTACTTATAAATATATATTTGTAGATATGCATACGAGATCAAGGCGGCGTCACTGCCCACGGCGTCAGCGCTTGGCTTAAAAACGCTACTTCTCTTGTATTTGTC